GTTGTTGATTTTAATTTGTAATGTATCTGTGCACGTTAGCCCGAATATTTGGTTACAGGAGCTGGCAGATAACATTGGAAAACCGTTTTGGGAAGAAGATCCGAAGTTGTGGGACGATGTTAACGTTGTTGGGCTAAAAAACAATTACTTTTGCAGTGTTTATGCTGCTCGCATGATGGTACCTCAAAAGAACGGCCTTATCATCAACATCAGCTCTTTAGGAGCAGTTAGATACATGTTTAATGTTTGCTATGGTGTGGGAAAGTGTGCTGTAAGTTGAGCAACTCGTAAAATCTCTTAATAAATAACGTTCCTGCTTGAGTTCCATTCTTTAAATTGATATTATAAGGAAGAGAATATTAGTTTTGAATTGGAAACGGTTTTGGTGGTTTTTTAATTTGTTTGTCAGACAGGTAGATCGTATGTCTGCTGATATGGCTATAGAATTGCGTGACCATAATGTTACGGTGATTTCTCTGTGGCCTGGTATTGTTAAAACTGAACTTTTTGGAAGTTTCATCGGTAGTGGCAAGTTCGACTCAATAAAGGACGCTGTAAGGTCTTCCTAGAAAGTTTTTTTTTCTGTAGTTTTCTTTTGCTGTTGTAAAGTGAAAAGGACTGCCAGTTTTTTACTGAAGGGGTCGGGTTGCTCTTTCTTAGTTTTCTTTTTTCTTTTTTTCCGCTTCTGTTTATACAACTCATTTAAATTTCAAATTTTTTATAGGAATTATTGAAATCTCTTCCACAAGAAACACCAGAATTCTCAGGGAAAGCAGTAATTGCATTAGCAACAGATCCTCAGAGGGCAAAGAAGACCGGAAAAGCGATACTCGCAGCTGATGTCGGAGTGGATTACAAGTTCAAGGACATTGATGGTGGGCTTATTGATAATGTTAATAAAAAATTTGACTTTTTATTTTATTGTTTGTTGAAAAAAATGGTTTGTTCTAGTGATGATATAAGTCTTCAACACTTTTTATTTCTACAAAACGTGCGTAACGTTAGTTTTTCAGGGTCAGAACCAGGTAGTTTAAGGGCTGTCAAATCTTGGTTTTCCGCTACAGGTTACCAGACGCTTGCGTATTACACACCTTCGTGGCTTCGTGTTCCGACATGGGTTATGACGTTTTTAAGCAGCAGATTGCAATAAACTTTTGATTTTTTTAATTTATCTGTCGTTTCAACTGTATTAAGAGCAGAATCCTAATAAAATTATTATAAAAAACAGTCTTCTGCCAATTAAGTAGGCTGAGTTTTTGCTTAAGCTTTTGGGTAGCTTTTTTATTTACAAGAATGCCATTGACAAGCTTCCTTTTTTGAGCTAACGTTATTTTTGTGTATTCTTTTAGGAATTGACAATAATAGAAAAGTTGCTGCTTCCAGCTGTTTTAAATGGTGTGCCAGCGCTTTCGGCAGCTGACTGTTTTAGTTTGGTTTAATTAGAATACTGTTTAGAAGTCAATGAAAGTTGTTTTTTTCTAATGTTTGTTTTGAGGTTTCTCAGGGATAAATGGGCGTTTGTTTCGTCGAGAGTGAGAGTGTTGTATAAAATTGGTTCTCAAATTTCTTTTCAGTTATCAGCTTTTGGAAATGTCTTTACCTTTTTCTACAGCGGGTACTGGTTTACAGTACTCTGAGAAGATACGAATGTTGTAGACAGTTATATGGGAGGTAATGCGATATGTACAGGCCCTTGTTAAAGTGAAGGTTTTTTCGATCTTAGGAAGTTTAAAGTCATACTATTTCGGAAGTTCAATCCAAACAGTTTTCTTAGTGGGCAGTTTATGTACTCAAAATTTTTTTCTTTGTTGTATTTTTAACGGAACGATCAGACTACCAGAAAATGTGCGAGTTATGAGGGTTGTTCTGGTCTTTTTTTGCGGTTTGAGATTACAGGCTAATAAGTGCTATTTTTGCCGTATCTCAAAGAATTGAAATATGATGTTTTGGAACAAGCTTCTCACCACTGCTTACGAGTAGACGGGAAAAAATTATTTGCATTAGAATCGCATTGAGGGTGAGTATGAAAGCCACACTACTAATTGGTTGTCTTGATATTAAGAACATTAAAAATCAGTTTGAGTATTGTGAGGTGTTGGAAACAAAGCCAAATGGCTTTCATCCAGGTTCTGTTTTGTTTTCATACTTGTCCAAAAAACTTTTAAATGTGAAAGATTTCAGAAATTTCCATGGCAGTTTCTCGGCCGTAATTTACATTTACGATTATTATAGGCCATTGCCTGGTTTGATTTCGCAAAAGAATTTTAAAGCAGTTTTTAGAGCAGCTGTACCGTGCACTGTTTTCTTTGTTCAATTAAGTTTTATTTTAAAAGCCCACTTTTGCTTTGATTTTGTGACACAAATAATGTTGATCTTCACTGAATTTAAGCGGCTAATTTATACACAAGGAAACACTTTAAACAGATTACAGCATACCTGTACCACGTATACTTTGGTAAACAATGAAAGATTAGTTACAGACAGATAAAAAAAAAAAGAAAAAAAAGAAAGTAACTGAAATTTTATTACATATCACAGTTGTAGAGCTGACAAGAGCAGAAAATTTTTGCATCAGTTAGCGCAATGTCAAATAAGAAGTACATTTTGAGCAATAATTTTTAGGGCTTTTAAGAAATCAGCTAAATTATCAATATTATAGCCGTTACATTAGAAAAGATTAAAGCAGATTTCATTCCCTTCAACTAGTTATATAAGAATACACATTTATCCCTTCAAATTCTTTGATCTTTTTCAGAAGCAACAACTACCACAATTTTACACCATTTGAAATACTCTAAATTGTCCGTTACCACAAATAAACACTTTTTAGTAATCACAACTGCAACTGTGATTGTTGCTCTCAGCGGAAGAAAAAGATCAAAAACAGTGCTAATAAAACTGTCACTAGTTGAAGCTTTTTTAAAATAAACGGATGAGATTCAGTTGTCGACAAAAGAAGTTATCAGTAAATCTTCGTAATTATACAAAATCTTTATCTCGCAGAGTCAATTATATCTCGTAGTTCTGAAGTTTTATACAGTTTATCAATATCCTAAAAAAAATAAGTAAGTATCATTCGCGCATTAATATGACTTGTTTGAAATTTTTGTCTAGTTGACTAATTCTTTTTTTTTTCTTCTTGTCACTTTTATCCGGTAGATCAAGTCAGCTAAAGCTAGGACTAAATTGTCACAGTAGTTTGAGGTAATAGAATAAACTGAGACTCTAACCTTAATAACGACTCAGTTGAATTACTCTAGATGAATTTACCTGCAGTTCACTGATCCATATTTTACGATTTTCGACGCGTCGCTTTTTTGGTTTTCCTTCAGATTTTGTAAGTGCTGGACGTTTATCACGAGTTGCTGCAGCGAATTTAGCTTCAAACTGAAAATACAAGTACCTCGTTAACCGTTTAAACATATCTTTGATCAGTACACTCAAAGCTACTACCCAGTGATCCTGTAAAGTTGTGAATAACTTTCTCTCTTGTGATTATAGTTCATTCTAGTTCGAGCATTTAAGTATGATGTTGCACCACAGGCCATTTTTTTCATTTCGTACAGCATATAGCATCTGCCCCTCTCCCCATTTTCAAAATTTCTCTTTTACACCTTTTCCTCTATATATCAAATAAAAAAAAACCTTTTTTTCTTTTCATGTGAAGAGACCGCAAGCGAAACAAAAAAATTTTTCCCCAAGGCCGTGAACTTTACATAAGAAAAACACAGTGTGATACATGTAATCCTTCTTTTTTTT